AAGAGATTGAGGAACTGATGCTAGGAGGACATCCAAATACAACTAAAATTATTTCTTCAAATGATTTTTAGTACGATATAAGACTGTAAAAAGGTCAGTCCCGCAACTACTTTCAATGATATGAAAACTCTTGCAAAATTTATAAAACAACGATATGAAAATAAAAGACAATAGAGAAGTTCAGTTTATTCATATACGAACCTACTATATACACAAGTATCAAGTAAAAAAATCATGGAATAACATCAGCCAAATATGCAAAAGTACCGTTAAATAAAACTAACAAGTATATAGAGTTGCTTTCCTAAACATTATCAGAAGATCAAGTCTGTCAACATACAACCAAACAAACCTTATGACATATAATACATAAACTTTTATTATGTGCTAAAAAGATAAAAAAAAAAAAAAAGTATCACTAATTTTTTGTAGTGAGTTTAGTATCTATATTTTTTCTATAATACACTCTGCTTAAATGTTTATATATTTTTTTTTCATTAAGACTATTGGACAAATTCATAATTTTTCTTTACAGTTAAGCTTATCCATCTTGAAGCTGTTTTAATACAGAGAAATAAAATAATTGGTGTTTCTTTTTACATTCATAGCACCAGTCTCGAAATCTATGATAATGAATGAAAAGCAAAAAAACATAAAATAAAATGGAAAAGGGTGAATAACTCTGTGATAAGAAGAAAAAAACAACATTAGCAAATTATGCCATTTCATACAAAAACAGTTAAAGTGATGCTAACACCAAGGCAGTGATTAAGTGCAAACTTCAGTAGAGTAAAAGTCCTTTACAATATTGTTTGTGGAAAAATACTCATTTGTTGCTACAACATATTTAATTAATGGACAGTTATATATATATGCAAGTGTATGTGTGAATGATGTAAGTAAGCAAGTGAACATCTACATGAATGTATTAATGAAATGTGTAGGTATGCATATGGACATGCATTAAAAATCACAAAGTAGGCACACACTCATACAAAAGTAGATGTGCTAGCATGCATGAAAAGAATTCGAGTAAACATATGCCATAGACATAAATATCCCTATTATGTATAAACTTTAAACCATGCTAATGAAATGAGATCAGTTGCCATACACTGACAACAGTACCTGGTATTGTTCAAGTCTTTTATTAAAAAAAAAAAAAAAAAAATGAGACTGGAGCCCTTTCTAGTTCTCAAAATGTTAGCTCCGGTCATTCTTTACACATGAGGATTATTGTATTGTTTGTTAAGTGGTATTAATATTACCCTAATCCTATTAACAAAAAGTCTCCAAAGGTAATGATACTACTGGCAGAATCTGAACCCATGTACTATGTCTTTTTGATGCACTGTGCCTGCAGTACACCATAGCTGCACCTCTTCATGTGTCTACACTCTACAGGAAGGAAGTTTACCCATTGCTCTCTACAACCCTACCATTTTAATATCAAATAATGTAAAATCTATCTATGAATGCCATCAACTTTAGTCACATTATCTAAATTTCTTGTGGTTCTTCTATATGTCTCTATATTTTTCACATCTATTTTTTTTTCAGCATATAAAAATCTGACATGCACATTTGCTAGAGATAGTATTGGTTGTTGGAAGAAACTACTTTGAATATTCTTTTAAACTCAAAACATCACAAATCATACAACTGATGAATAAAATTACAAAATGTTTCAGCCTACTCAATGTTTCATTAGTTTATAGCGAGTTATTTAAATAATGTAGCACTGTAAGGTATTGAAAACTCTACAAGAAACTTCCACACAAAAATGACTATTCTACAATACAGGATATACTAAAAGAAAATCTGTAACAAATGTGAGATATTCTAGTTCTATTCATTCATTAAATGTGAAAGTCAGCTGAGATAATTTTCCTATATGCTGTAGGTAAAAAGTTAAAAAAACTAAGAGTGAAATAATATAATAAAATAGCAAGTTTTGCATAATACAACTACAGTACTGGCAAATTATGTTGTTTTGGATTTGTCATCGCATTTCTGTTGTTGTTATTATTATTATTATTATTATTATTATTA